TATATTTACTTACATTAGTTAATGACTTTGGTTAAATGACAGAAATAAAAATATTCAAAAGTTAAAGGAACTGTCCTTATCCTACCTGAGAACAATCTTCAAAGAAACCAAACTGTAGTACCAAAACAGATAGATGTCATATCAAGTGAAAGGACACAGAATACTTCTTGCAAAAAAGGACTGATTAGTAGTAATAAATACTAATTATAATAACTTCATAAGTTCACCTAATTTACTTATTCATTCAGAGCTATAAATTACATTAAACAGCTGGTATTTCTTTTTCCTTGGGATTTTCATGACATAATTTCTTTGAACATTTTAGTGTTTGAAGCAATGATAGCTACTTCGGGGCAAGTTTTTTTTTTCTTCTCCTTCGCCATCTTTAGAAAGTCACTTAAGGTATATTTATTGTGTTGAAATCTTTACCAGTGTTAGCTCTAAGTGGAATTTTAGTGGTAGATGGTTTGCAATTAGCTGTCCTATTGTTGTTTTTAAGACACTTTAAAAAAAAATTCCAAACTGGACTTTTTTTTAGAAATATTTACGGCAGATATCAATTGCACATTGCACACTACAGCAAATACATTCTTGTTTCAACTGTTTATGTTTCACAATATTCTATTCAAAAATATTTGTGTACATTATTGGCTGTAACAATAAAAATGGTCATAACCTGCTGAAAATGTAATTTTTTCTTATACTGGTGTTAGGTCAATAGACTACCCCTATATTGTTGTACCCCTATTATTTCATACTTTTAAAACTTGTTTGATTATTAATTTTAATTGCAAAATCCTACATTTCATACAAGAAAGTTTTGTCCTAATTTATTTGCTACTTTTTTGTTTTCACAAAGATTTTTTTATGTTATGTTATGGATGTTTAATTATTTTCTCATTTAAACATGCAATAAATTTTAATGAGATATTTAGTTGTTAGACTCGTAATCTTTTCAGTTTCAGAATACAAGTACATTGCACACTTTTTTTTTAGTTCAGTTAATATTGTTATCTATCATATTAAAGACAATATTTGGGGACAAAAAAGATGGATTTATGGGGAATATTTGTCAGGCTTACTGTATCACTAGTCAGTCAATTTCAATTAACTTTTATCTCTTTCCACAAACAAGTAGGAAATCATCCTATTAGTGCATCATAGAAATCAAGACAAAGCTAAACCTGACATCTGGAACTAGAGTTATTCATTAATATTAGCAATGAACAACATAAGTATTTACTTGGATTGTTTTGCAACTTGTAAGCTGTATACACACACACAAAATTATATGATGTCTATTTGCACTGTTATCATAATTATTGTATTAGCCTATGATACAATATAGACAAAATGAAGATAAATAGTTAATGCTCCACTTTTACAATGATATATTATAAACCACTGAATTGTAGAGTTTTAAACAAGTCATATTTATGTAGTGTATATGAAGACAAATGTGTTACACATATATAATATTACTCACTGGGTGGTCAGCTTTATCTCTAGCTTGTATGCTACCATTAACATTATCAAATTTTAACAGTTATCACCAATAAAAACATGCAGTTTAATACACAATAGTATTTCTGTTAATTTTAACAAAATTTATTAAATAAATAAATCAGTGAATTTCTTTACTTTATTATACAAGCTTTCAGCCCTAATGGTAATACTAGAGATTATGGCATGTGGATTTTCATGAATAAGATACAAACTATTTTATTAATACAACATTCCAAAGTACAGGTATTTAATCAATAACAATAACATTGAAAGGTCTTCCAGTGTTCAACAATGGTTATATATTTACAAGGAAATTTTTAGATAATTATTAAAAATTAATATTTAAATTATAAACCACAGTACAAGTGAATAAATTCAAATAATTAAAAATCAAACTCCTGGTAAACTTTTGTAATAATTAATCACTTTTATAATAAAGAAAATAAAAAATAAAGCCAAAAAAAAATGATGGATAAATTTAGAAAAGAAAAAAAATCATCTTTTTAGGTTTAGATCAAAATTACATCTAATCAACTGGTTACTTCCTTAACAATCAGTAACCAGTAAGAATTCAAGGGGGGTAGCCATAGTTCTGATTAATGCACATTGATGGACTAAATTAATGTACACTATGACAAGCATTTCTGTAATTTTCCTTTACTTAGTGTTGCATTCCATGTCATAAATTTTCACCTTATTTATATCTATAAAGTTTTAATATGACATAAAAATTAAGGGCAGCAAGGAACCTACTGGTCCACTTAGGTTGTCCCATCTAGTAATTTAAAAAATATTAAGCCAGCCCTTAGTATTTTAATATTTATCAAGCCTTCACTCAAGCATCCTTAAATTAGCTGCATCCTTCACATCTGAAGGCAACCCCTTCTAAAGGCTAACCATAATGACAGAAAAATAAAACAGTTGTAGCTGAAGATTTCTCCTACCCCACAAAAATGTTATATTTGTCTCCTAATCCTATCATTCTCACTATTACGTACAAAAAAAAAGAGATTATCCATTCCTTAGGAATCTTAAACACCTCAATCAGAACCCCATTAACTCTACTTTTTTCAAGAGAAAACAATTTCGTGGATCTTACCTATTCTCATATGACAACTTTTCTACCCAAAGTAACATCTTAGTAATGTTCCTCTGAACCTTCTCCAACAATTCAATGCCCTTCCTAAGGTAACAAGCTCAAGATTGAACATAATAATCGAAATGGGTCTAACCAGTGAACTGTACAATGAAATCATAGACTCTTTAGACTTGTATCCAGTATTTCTGTAGATACAACCTAACATCCTATTTCATCTGCCAATAGCAAAAGCACACTGACTGCTTGGATGACTTAAGAGACTGATAAGCCAGAAAACCAAGACCCTTTCCTTCCATAACACTATTAAAATAATAGCCATCACAATTATACTTATAATTTAAATTATGATAACCCACATACACTACCCTGCATTTATTAAAACTACAAGCCATCTGTTTTTTATTTTCCCAACTCGCCAAATAATCTAAATCTTTTTGTGAAGTAGCATCTTTCTCTTCACAGACAGCAACAACCAAAAACTTAATAGCATCAGCAAATTGAAAGCAAAGTCTCGACCATTCCTTCACCTCAGTTTTTTTTTTTACACTTACAAAAGACTGTTCACTGAAGTATTTATTTAATAATTTTATTCCACAAAAGGATTTAAAAATTAACTAGTAAACTTCATCTTACAATCACTGAATTGAACTGAGTGTGTTTAATTTCATCATTCAAACACTTTGTAGCTCTCAGTGTAATTAGTCACCTGATAATCTTGATGATAGTAGAACATCTATTTGTAAATAAAATATTAACACACACACACATATAGGCCTACAAAGATATTACATTGCAGTTACTAACCAAATTATAAGCAAAATAGAATTAGACTTAAAATATAAAGTTATTTATACTGTTCACTTAGTTTGAATAATGAACATTATTTAACTTTTCACAAGACAGCAAAAACATAGAATTTAAAAATAAAATTCAAACACATGTCATAAGTAACACTAAAATTCTACAGTTAAACATTTAAGTACAGGTTGACTATCACTAATCCGGCATCATCGGGACCTGGAGGGTGCCGCATTAGCCATCTATTAGGTTAGAATACACCAAACCCACTAGCTAACCACCTCATCTTAAAATATCCCATAAAACAGTACAAGTTGATTAAGTTTTAATCAAAGAAAATATTGGAAAGAAAACTTTCAAGCGAGACTAAAGTATTTACCTAATAGCGCGTATCTTGCTTTACTGTATTTGAAATTGTTCTAGCCGAAATTAGTGCCGGATTACTGATTGCCAGACTAGTGATGGTCAACCTGTACAACCTTACTTCAAGTGAAACATTAACAATAATAGTAATACTGTTTATAAAATTAAACTTACTATAACTTTATTACAGATATGCAGACTTTAAAAACTTAAACACATTAATTAACACATGATAAAATAATAAATTATAGTCATTGCTTATATTATAAAACTTAAAAGTTTGAAAGGGAAAGCCACTGTACAGTTTTCTTTTAAATTTAAGATAATATTTAAGAACAGCAAGGTGCCCATTGATCCACTGAAGTTGACTTTTACAAATTTTAAAAAACGAATAAACAAAAATCAATTTTTAAAATACTCAACCCTGATCATTTAAATATTGACCAATCTTTCCTTTAAATTTACTGCATCCACCACAACCGTTTTCAACATTATATTTATGGCTTTAAATACTAAAAAAGTTAATGCATAGATATTATCAATCCCCTTAATTTTCAACACCTAAATCAGATCCCCTCTAACCCTATTTTGATTTTCTTCAAGGGAAAACAACTTCAGAGATCTTAACCTGTCATCATATTCCCAGATATCATTTTATTTTTAGTATCCCTCTTTTGAACTTTTTCCAATGCAAATATACTACTTAAGGTAACAAGCCCAAGACTGAACACAGAAGTCAATACTCCAACTGAGGCCTAACTTGTAACCTATATATATTACAACGAAATAATAAACTTTTTAAACTTATATTCTATATTTTTTTCTGTATATATAATCCATAATCCTATTTGCCCTACCACTATCAGTGACTTGAGTAAGCAGTACCAACAGCATACTAGTACTTGGATGGTTTAAATCTCAAGTTGAGAGACTGATCAACCATAACAAAACTTTTAAGTTTTAATTTTAGTAATTTAGCACAAAACTGTTTACTCTACGCTAAACTAAAGATAATTCATATCCAACCAAATTTCAAACAATTTCAAAACAAACATATTTAGCCTAGTAACTTAAACTTGTCCAAGGTAGCCTATACTACAGTATAATTCTTGTAGTATAAGTAATAGTACCACTACTTTTATTACTAATAAGGTCATATAGCTTAACTTTAAATAATGTACATCTAAAACTAAAATTACTGGGATAAGTTCAGCTAGATACTGAGAAAACTTACCATTTTCATTGCCATCTCCCTTCTTTGTGGTGGCAGCATTTCCCATGTTTCACTCAAAATGCAACAAACAGCAGTTTAGAAACACTCACAAAGCTTAAGTAATACAATCTCAAACAAACAAGGAATGTTTCAGAATTAACATTTATTTCCTAATTACAGCCAATACCCCTAGTGTAATCCACTTTGCCCTCGAGAAGAACTTAATAGTAATACTAATATTAGTATTAGTAATAAGTTGCTAAGTAGTAGTACTAGTACCCACGGCGAAGCTATAACTGAATTCTAGCAGTTATATTCATCCGCACACATATCAGACAGAGTCTAATTGAAATTTTGAATTCTAAGTAGGTCAAAACATCTGTAAATATCATTCAAGAAATGTGTTGTGCCTAATATAAGCCAATACTAATAATATCGATGTGCTGTCCTCTGACAGTACTATTTGCTACGTAGAAGAAGGAGACAACAGAACAAATGGCGAATGAACTATTATGGGATGTAGGTCGTGCGCTCGCGCTGTCGTGTTTCAGGCTACGTTCGCTTTCATGTTCGCAACAAGAAGAGCAATGTATCAGAAAACTCGTGATATCAGTTTTCATTCGTATCATATGAGATAATGTGAGACATCAAATCGTTCGCTATAATTAACTAGTTTTGTACAGAAAAAGTGGGAATCCTCAATAGCCGCGGCACTTGAAATTCTTTTAGGTAGGATTAGAGTAAACTAACCTATGAGACCTTTTTTACCCCATTTTATTAGCTATATTTTTGTGCACCAGCAATACCAAGCGGGGCGCGCGTATACCTGATTCGATTTTATTACTCATCAGGATTTTGAACAGCCTACCCTCAAATTGAAATTCTTTTTGACAGAATTAGAATAAGTTAATATATGAGACCTTGGGCGTGGTCAAGTACATCATTTCGAAAGGGTTTGACCTCCTAAGTCCAAAACTGTAACTAGATCTCAAATCGGTCAAGAGATGACTGAGCCATGAACTAAAGTTTTTACTTGAAAAACTCAGAGCCATTCTATGAGCCGCTATGCCGCGGATAAAAATTCACTCTGCATGCAAATTGGTTAAATTTGTTGCTCAATAGTTTTTAAAGACAATTTAAATATTTTTTCTTGTACCTGGAAATACAGTTCTCGTGATCGAATTTCCGATATACGTAATTTCAGTGCAATTATATATATTTAAAAACTTTATTCATATTTTGAAAATAGAATGAAAAAAGCGTTGCTTGTCAACCTCTTCATACGACTTTTGTACTCTATTTTGGCTGGATCTTTACATTAAAAAAAACAAAACCAAAAAAAAAAATGGCCCGGCATGGCCAGGTGGTTAGAACGTTCGACTCTCAATCTGAGGGTCGCAGGTTCGAATCCCCGTCACACCAAACATGCTCGCCCTTTCAGCCGTGGGGACGTTATAGTGTGACGGTCAATCCCACTAGTTCGCTCTAGTCTTACACTGCTAAATTAGGGACGGCTAGTGCAGATAGCCCTCGTGTAGCTTTGCGCGAAATTCAAAACAAACAAACATTTAAAAAAATTATATATTACAAAAAAAAAACAGCAAGAAAATAAACATTCAATACCAATATGTTACTGTAATTTAAAGAAGTTACGGCGAACAAGTTAAGAGATACATCGCTAAGTTAATTAGTAAACCCATGTATTTGTGGGTTATCTGTGCTCTTCCCACCACTGGTATCGAAACCCGGTTTCTAGCAGTATAAGTCCGCTGACATGCCGCTGTGCCAATAAGAGGCTTAACCCATGAAACTCCAAAGTAACTTATAGTATCATCTTTATCTGTTTATAAAATATAATTAAAATGTTGGTATACTTAGTTTTAGCAAAAAATAGTATTTACTTTTTCTCTTAATTAAATGCACCTCACCGATTTTATACGCATTTTTTAACATCCATTCGTGGTAAAGTTGATAGGCACAAAACTTTAAAATAAAAAATATGTCAAAATACCTTTAAAGGTTATTATGACATTTCAGGCAAACGATCTTTGTAATTATAAAAACTTACCGATTAAAATAAAGAATAATGCAATAATATGTCAGCCAAACTATAGCTGCTATATCAAATGCCGCCGAGCCCTTTCACTTCATACCAGAGCTCATTAGGTAGTCGCACTGTTCTAAAAGACAAACATTTTTTTATTTAATCGGTATTTTAGTTTTTAAAATTTTGTGTTTCCACCACCATATATTATTTCACTCTTAATTTATTAAACGGTCGTTGTTATCTGTATTTTTTGTTTGTAATTAAGCACAAAGCTACAAAATGGGCTATCCGTGTTCTGCCCACCTCGGGTATCGAAACCCGGTTTCTAGTGTTGTAAGTCCGCAGACATACTACCGTCCCATTGGGGGGGGGGGGCTGCTGTTATCTCCTTTAACCTTTAGAACACGTTGAATCAGGTCAAATTTAAACTGTAATTGCCTTGAAATGAATGTAACAATGCGGTGAAATTAAACATACTTGTAATTGTTACGCAGATTAAACATCGTTAAATGACAAAAACACCAATTACGAACATTGTAAGACTATACAGATACACACAAACAGGAACGTCGAGAGTCAGCAGAGCCCCGGGGTAAACATCCTCGCCGGGCCCCCTTTCTCACTCTCTTTTTTAACATTCTCAATAATTTATTAAAAAGAAGATCCTAAATTAGGACAGCAACGAGCTCATAAACCAGACAAAATCAAAGCAGCAGCCGTTTTTACCTCACAATATAAGCGTAAAAACGTTAATAAAGTAACAACAAATATCTATTAAATCTATAAAGTAACAAATACATATTAATTATTACTCAAATTATTATTTCAGTCGTTCTTAATGTATCAAGGGTCTATATCTAAAGAAAAGCCAAAAACTATGGTTTTTATCATTAAATGAAGATATAGCCTGAAGATGCTTTGCGGGCTTTACGGCATAACCAGGTATATGTGTGTCTGAGTATTGGGTGGGACAAAAGTTATCATGTAGTTACTTCATTTAGAACATAATTTAATTTCTTACTAGTAAACAAACAATAACAATTGTCTTCATAATCGTTTCTTTATCACCAACTGTGTCAACTGTATAGTACTAAATGTATATCAACTTTTGCCCCACCCTGTATACATACCAACACACATATAACACATATACATATATATATACGTATATACATATACGTATATATCATATTCTGTTAACGAGGATAACTCTTTGTGTGAATGGAAGGTTGTCGGGAATATTTTTAGAGCGGCACTTTCAATTTAATTGAAAGTTTCTCTTAAAGTATATACACAAGATATATCTTATGATTGTAATTCGTAACAGCTCTATAATTTTTCAGATCATTACTGCAACCGCATTGATAAACTTCTTGTATTAACTTTAGAAATTAGGGTTACAAAGATTATTGTTAGTTGTTCAAAATACAGTACATATTGTTACGTCTCCGTTCGTTAGTTAATTTTCCGTAGCTTCGTTCCGACACAGGTCCTTTCTTAAATAAAACTGGTTTATTCTTAATTTCAATAGTCGCGCTATAACAACGAACGTCTCACGTGCTCAACTTCAACAATACGTAGTTCAATTACACACTCTCTGACTGCAGTTCAATTACTCATTGTCTCCCCGCCGCTTCGTGGCTGGTCTGATGTATACAAGACTACACTATATCCAGAAAGATCACGAGATTTAAGGAAAAGACATAAAAGTTCGAGAATGACGTGGCGTGATACTAGTCACGTGACATCGATGTCGTAACAATATGTGTTGTAGGAATTAGAAAAAACTCAGAAAAAGAAGTTTAGCTTAAGTTCCAGTTTTAAAATGTAAAAAGTCAAAAACGAATATTGACCAGTTTCAGTCTCTTATTTACAACACGTCATGTCATAAAATGTTATAGACCTATGCTGTGTATATACGTTTTCACACTTTTAAAGCATACAATTGTAGAAGTGGTAGCCATTTCTAACCTTGAAAAGCAAAGGCACAATTAAGAAGTACGAGTAAACATCTTCCATGAATATTAACGTACTACTACTCTCTGTTGTCTATACACTACGCACCTTCCATCCAGTACATGGTTCAGTAAAACTATAAAGTAAAATTCACAACTTGTGGACAACGCGAATCTTTAGGAATTCTCTATAATAACTTAAATAAAATATTATGTTTTTTTTTCCTACGTCCTTACGTAAAGGTTTGCTTGTTTGAATTTAAACACAAAGCTATACAACGAACTACCTGTTCTTTGCCCACCACGGGTATTGAAACCCGGTTTCTAGCGTTATAAGCTCACAGACATAACGCTGTGCCCCTGGGGGCTACGTAATATATTATTATGTTTTAGGCATTTAATATTCTACTGAACTTTTAGTAATTGAATCTTTAAAATCAATCTAAGCAACTTTGTCGCACCAAGGTCTTTTATTCTTTCTTCTTACTACTTAATTTGCATACACACAACATATATATATATATATATATATATATATATATTTGTATCATCATGCGCACATGTTGATTGCATGATAAAACGGGAAGACTAGTACATTATTCCTACAACAATGTCCCTTGTCAAACGGATAATAAGAGCATTTAAATCAAAGAATAACATTTTTTTAAACAATAAACATATTGTATATGTATTTTGGTTAATGATAAATTGAAGTGGTTTAGAATTAGCATCAAAAACAAAACAAAAAGTGACTTAACGTCTGTGACCTTTTGATTTATAGAGTAACATGTCTTCCAAAACTGTGAAAAATTGCTAAGAGCCAGGATTGGTGCCTCAGCGCTTAAGAATTCTCGAATTGTTATGTTGAAAATTTTCTCACCTTAGCCGACCCAAACGATTTCACTCCACTACCAATTTTTAATATTGTTGTGTTCTACTGCCATCTATAGGCAACTATATGTAGCTAGAACTAGAATTAAAATAATTTTTCTTGATTTTTATATTATAATATGCGATGACGAAAACCAAAAACAATGGAAGACAAATAAGATTTTTCAACAAGTCACTATTGTTGCTAAAATATATTTTTAGAAGTATAACGTATCATAAAACAATAAATTAAATTTTGGAGAGCGTTCAATTTTTACTAAAGCCTTTATTAGGCTGAAAGCTCGTGATAGATAAACATTGTAATATATATGAAAAAAAAGGATTATTCATTATTTTTATATTTTAATCATAACATTTTCTTTGGTTTATCTTAATGTGAAAATAAGCGATCGTCAGTGGTCCATTTTCATAACACTATTAAGATTAAAATGTTTCAGTGCTCTTGTTTTTGTGACTCAAACATATACGTCGAAACTGGGGGCGTGGGGACATGCCTCCAATAATTTTAAATTGGGGCGAATATCATTGCCCCTCTACAATATTTTGCTGACAACAGTTTTTTTTATATTTAGTTGTTGTTGTTTTTTCTATGCAAGTTTACTACAGTTCTTTGGCAAATTCTAAACATTACACTGTTTGTAACTTTTTGTCTATCTGAATAATGTGTATACTGGTTATTATGTGAAACAATATTTGTACAATTTACAATTTTGCAGTATACAGCAAATAATGTAATTTTTATTTTTTATATTTTTGTATTTACAATAAAATACTTGCTGCGAAATGAAATTGTTGAATAATATTTAAAAGCATTTT